GACTTAAGAGTCATAAGATTCTGGATTTTGAAGTCCCAGTGTGTGACCCTCTAGAACTAGAGCTGTTAATGCCAAATGACGTGCTCCTTTTGTCTACCCATGATTTTCATCTAGTTAGAGTAAAAGAATCTCCTGTCAGCTACTGGTGACATTTTGAGCCTCTTAGCTTTAGTGGAAGGACTATATCCACTACTCCTAAGTCATTTTTTTTTACTGGTTGAAAAGCTCACATCTTCACATCCTAATTGGATCCTTTAGTGATCACACTTTGTTCTATGCAGTAAGGTAGAAAGGGCAGAAAGAGGGATGTGTGTGTGTGCTCTATTTGTTGGTGACAGTTATAAAAGCAAAAGCATCAGGGGTGAAACTGGGTAAGTAATTTATCTTAGGGATTTGACCTTCCACAACTGTGGGCACTAGTTAAACTCCCATCTTAGGGGCCTGTGTGTTGCTAGCCTGCTGAACATCAGGGAAGTTAGTCAAGAAGGAAAGATGGTCTGTGTGATGGTTAAACTCAACTGTCAACCTGATGAGCTCTAGTATCACCTGAGAGGCAGGCTATTGGGCATGCTGCAGGGAGGATAACTTGACTAAGTACATTGAGGTGGGAAGCCTCACCCACTGTGGGTGGCACCATTCCCTGAGCTGGGATCCTGAAAGGTATATAAAAGAGAAAGTGAGTTGAGGACCAGCCCTCTTTGCTGTCTTCTTCCTGACTTCAGAAACAAGGGGTCCAGCTGCTTCAAGCTCCTCCTGCCATGATAGCCTGCACTTTGACTGAAAACAAACCCCTCCTTTCACCCTTAAATTGCTTTTGTCAGAGCCTTTTATCACAGGTGGTCATAATCATCAGCACTATGAGTCAGAGTGGCTTAGGTTTTATTCCCCAGTCATTCAATCAAATGTTAATCTGGACATTGGGTAAATGCATTTTGTAATTTTTGTAAATGTAATCAAGTCTAGAAGCAGTTGACTTTTAGTAAGGAAGATTATCCTAAATGGTTCAAATCAAATGAAACACCCCAAGAGAAGAATTGAGGCTGCGTGGAAGAAATTCCGTTTGTAGGAACAGCTTCAACTCATGAGAGTGCAGCCTATTGTTCACAGTACTCAGCCCTAGAGATTTCATACTTTTCTACCCGGCCCCCAGAACCACCTAATCTGGTTCACCAGCACGTACACAAACACACAGTCTTCAATTAGTTCAGATTCATCTGTGACTTATATAGATTTGATGTAAATGCAAGCAAGCACACCTTGGTTAGGACAAAGCAGACCACATCAATCCTTAACTGTCTATAAGCCTTCATCTTTGGTGATACTGTTGACCTGGAGGAGAAGTTACTACCTTCTGTCTTAGAAAAAGTACTTTCAGAAGTTGGAAACGCTGAAGACAGGCTGTAGGTGTTACTGCAGACTAGCCACCGTCTACCGATACCAAAGAGAGCTAGCTGCTCTGTGAAGGGTGCCCAAGCCACAGCACCTGACTCCATTATGACTTCTCTAGTACTGGGTGGTAGCTGCTTCACTTCTAATGAGAAAGATAAACCGGCCCACCTTTCCCCAGGGCACCGGGTAAGTGTGAACCACTGTTACTCTGAGTCTGAAGCTAGCCTAGTCTATATAGCTCCAGGTCAGCCAGGGCTACATAGTGAAACCCTGTCTCAAAAGGAAATCAGCAACTAAATCAAACACCAAAATATGTTTAAAATCATCCTTGGTGTTAATGCTAAGTTCTTCAAGTTTTCATTGTAAGTGTTTATTTTTTTTATTTTTATTTTTATTTTTTTTTGGTCTTCCCATAAATAAGCAGAGATTTGGGGGAATGGACAATGTGATTTCTTACCTAGCAGTTTTGGGCTCTCTCATCTGCTGCCTTGACTTCTTTGAGCAAAAGGACTGTCAATAGAAGAACCAACTGGGCTGCTATTGTGCTAACACTGGCCACTTTGAACATTTCATGGATGTACTGAGAACAGTAAACAGCCATCGAAGTTGACCCACCTCCAGAAAGCATAGCCTCAGCCATGACTGTTTCCATCCATTTGTACCAGAAACTTTGCCATTAGAAGCTTTGGTGAACTCTAGAAGGTCATGAAAGTATTTCTATGGAGCATGCCCCATGGTCACCTGGTAGAGGAATTGTTGTGGCTGCTGTTAGAGCCAAGGCTGTGATTGGTGCAAACACAAACCTTCATTTGCATGTAGGATGTGTTGTGATTAGTCCAAACACCTCTTCTCTGCTATGGTACAAAATGTCCACAGCCAGGCGTATGCAAGGAGGCTTCTTGGAATCACCTACTTGACACTTTGTTGTATAGCCCCTTAGAGAATGACTGTATAACTATGCCTGGCTACAGACTGAAAACCAGGGATTCTCTTCTAAAGAAGGGAAGACAGAGATGAGGAGAGCATCACTCCTCACTGTAGGACCTTGTTCCCACTCTTTAAGTTTTTAAAGTAAGAGGCCATAGGGACCTACATTGAGCTTCATGTCTTTAATTAAATAGAAATGCTTCTCCATAGCACCTTGGAAAAATGTCATAGGATTAAAATGTCTCAGGATTAAAGAGGTGTCCACATCACACAGTGTTATCCCCAGGACACCCTTGGACCACTGCAAGTAGGGGAGTCTCTACACTGGGTGTCAGTGTTGTGTGTGGATTCGCAGAATGACCTTTCAAGGGCCTTTGGAAAAGCTGTATTTCTTTCTGTAGAAGAAAGAATGCAGCTTAATGACCAGGGGCCTCCTTTATACATTGATGCCTTTGGGGAATCTGCTGCAGCATGGTGAAAAAAACTAATTTATAGTGTGGATCTGCATAGGTAAAATAGATTTTATGGAAAAGGCCCTTGGCACAAATTCATCCAAATCAATTCCCACTCACATTTGGGCAGCCATAATATTTCCTGTTTATTGAGCTTTTAGCCACTGGTCCAAGCAGTTCATGCAGATGTCCACACTTAATCTCCTAAGAACTCCATGAAGTATGTACTATTACTGTTATTCACACATGACAAATGAGGACCCAAAGCATGGATGGTAAAACAAACTGACACCTCCGTATAAGCCGCCAGGGAAAAAGTGAGCAGCAGAGTCTTTCTGTAGCATCTCCCAGGTGCATCCTGGAACCTGACCGATAGCCCCGGAGCAGAGGCAGGGGGCTCTATTGTCTCTCTTCTCTAGGGTGGGGGAATGGTTACAGGCTGAAACCCTCCCACAAAGAACTGTACCCCAAGAGAGTTATACCTAGCCCGTAATTTAATTAAGTTGAATGAATTGGAACCTGCAGTTTAGGATCATTCTGGTTAAACGCAATTAAGTAAATAATAAGCTTTTGTTACACCGACGTCATCTCTGACAGAAAAACCTGCAAATCGGAAGGAAGAGGACCGGGAGGTGCTGAGGGAGGGGCTTTGTACTACCCCCCCCCCCCAGGACCACCTGGAGTCTGTGGCCTCTTTGGTGGTTCCTCAGCCTCCTCCTCCATCCTTCTCAACCGGAGGGCAGATGCCATTTCCTGACCCCCTGTAGTTTCCAGCCGCCCCAAAGGCTTTCCATATCACAGAGACTTGGTATTTTCAGGAAGGAATTACTGTAGAAAGGGAATAGTGTCAGTTTAGAATCTTCTAGACTGGCAGTCTGCTTTATTTTATACTGAGCATAAGAAATCAGGCGGAACAATTCCCCCACCCTCTACCTTCGTGGTCTTCTGGGGCTGAGAATCCACATGTGGCACCAGAATTGGACCTTCTGGTGTTTTGGTGTGCCACAGACACCACCCAGCTAGGTTCACAGACAGGTTCAAGGTCCTCAGACAGCAGGCAGTCAGGGGACAGGGGGTATGATTTTTTTTCCCAGTGCTCTTGAATTTGAGGCATACCTTTTATTGGACACATGATTATGAAGCCAACTTGCAGATAGGTTGAGTGTTGCAGAAAATATAAAATGGGCCTTTAAACCAATGCAAGACTGTCTTTTTTTTCTTTTTCTTTTTTTTTAAATCAAGCATTTGATAACAAATGGAGCTCTCCCAGCTCACAATAACAAGCTGCCTAGTTGCATTCATAAGTTGCTGCAACCGCTCTCGGATCCCAGGCCTCTGTGTGTGTGTGTGTGTGTGTGTGTGTGTGTGTGTGTGTGTGTGTGAGAGAGAGAGAGAGAGAGAGAGAGAGAGAGAGAGAGAGAGAGAGAGAGAGAGAGAGAGAAGAAAGTATTCCAACTTGAAATACATATGGTAACCGGACTGAACAGTGACAACCAGAGACATCTTTGCCATTCAGAGAATTTATGAAAATCCCGTGCTTCTGGAAGGCTCCCGCAGCTCCACACGCCCTGGCGGGTGAGCTCCCTGCAGCAGCTGGAAGCCGATCTATAAATAGCACAGGGAGGGAAGCGCCCCAGGAGCCCAGCGGGCGGGAGATCCCCGGCTCTCCCCAGCGCGCCCCCGCCGGCACCCGCTCCCTGCTTGGGAAAGCCTGCAGGCGGGCTGCGCGGCCTTAACCCCCGAGGCGCCGGCACGCGCAGTGAACCCAGAGTAGGAAAAAAAAAAAACAAAAAACAAAAAAAAAAAACCCGCATCAGTGCTTCCTCCCACCCTCTAAGCGGCGGTGATCACACATGCAATTTCTTAAGCCCCCAAATGCAGAGCACGGAATCTGTCCTGGGTCCTTTTATTTTCTGAGAAGCTTTAATCCAAACCTTAAAAAAACAATCATCCCAAATTTGGTCTTGAGCATGATGTCTCCAGTACAAGGTTCCCCTTCCTGCGCTTTATGCTGTTTAAGGACAGTAGCGTTCCTGGGAGTGAAGTGCCTAGCGGAGGCTGCGCATGCATGCATGCCGGGTGTGTGTGTGTGTGTGTGTGTGTGTGTGTGTGTGTGTGTGTGTGTGTGTGTGTGTGTGTGTGTGTACACGCGCATACGCGCCGGGTGTGTGTGTGTGTGTGTGTGTGTGTGTGTGTGTGTGTGTGTGTGTGTGTGTGTGTACACGCGCATACGCGCGCCCGCGCTTTATTTTTGGCGCATGCACACCCCACGGTAGCCTCAAGGTCGGCGACAACCCTGATCGGTCGGGGTCCCCCGCCCATCCGTGCTCTCCCGCCCGCCAAGGACGCGGGAAGGAGCAAGTCCCCCAGTGGCGGCGGGGCATCTTGGGGCGCCCGCGCAATTTCAGCATTGTCGTGCTGGAGTGGGGACAAGCAGGCAGAAGCCGGTCCCCAAAGGTGTGGACTTGGACCTTTCCGAGTGGGCAGCCGGGGCCTGGCTGGTCCCAGCCGCGCCCCCGGCTTGCTGCCCACCCCCAGGGCCTCCCTGCAGCCCCTTGGCATCCTCTCTGCGAGCTGTCACGGAATTTGGCTCTGAGAGGCAGCTGGTCCTGGCCAGGATCCCTGGTCCATCTCAAATGGAAACAGTTCCTCCTGAGGAATCGGCCGGGAATCTCAGTGGAAATGCACTGGGGCAGGGCCCCCTGGCGTGTTTAACCAAGGCCAAGCTTACCACTTTGAGGCAAGGGATGCTTCAAATGGAGCGGGATTCCTGGTTACAGACTGAGGTAAGCCCAGAACTAAGGTGACATTGACTGGGGACTTCAGTTTTAATGGGGCCAGCATCCCCCGGTTAAGGTTGAGAGGTTTGCCTTTCCTGTCTGACTCAGGCCTCTCTGGTCATCCTCAAAGTCTTTTCTCACACTGCTTTTCCTAGCCTTCCCACATCCCTGAGTGAAAGCATTTCCCTGTGGGGGTTTGGACGGGATTTCCTTGGGCTCTAATTTCAGCATTTTACTGTTTACATTAGAAGGTCAATGCCAAGGCTGACCTGAAGTATTCCCCCTCCTTCTGCACTTTCATCCACCTTCCTTGCTTTATTTTTCTGTTCCTCTCTTTCCTTGTCTTGTTTGTGTGTTCCTAAGTTACCCAGCGTCTCTTTGAAAATATGAGTAGAAACAAAAAGAGGGTGGGAAGAGTGTTGTGATTTTGTGTGTGATGTGATGTTGGGAGGATGGGGGGTGGCTTGTGAGACACTCACTTATTAAAAACTGGGACACCTACCCATTTCAGCTTCTTCAGGACCACACTGACAGGATGATTTCCTGGACGATAAAGTACATCTCTATGCTTTTCAACCTCCTTCTCCTGCATGTGGGAACCAGAACTTGCAAGACTAGGTGGATGCTAAACTTGAGGGGAAATAGTGTACTCTTGAGACCCAAGCTAGTTTGAGCCCTTTATGCTCAAGCCAGGGAAAGGTAATGGTAATGCTTACCCTTCCAAAGAACTGCATTTATGGAGCATTAGTTACATCTGTTTTACTCTAAAAGCTTTATGCATGTTGACTCAAATGTTAAAGCTTCCAGGGCATCACGTAAAGCACTTCTTTTTACAGATGAAGCAACTCGGGAACAGATAGACATGCTAAGTCTTTTGAGCATGATCAGAGTAAATGGAGAAACTGAGGTCAAAACTCAGCATATCTGGTCCTAGAACAACGCTCTTGTGCAGTCTTAGTACATCACATGACTCTGTCCCCCCATGTATTCACTGTTGTGCTATATGCAGTTCTAGCCACTGGAGGTAGCAGAGCACAAAAGGGAGTCAAGATCTTTGTGTTCTAGTTGAAGGAGACATCATAATCACAATCGGTGAACAAGCTCCATGGCTCCAGATAGTGAGAGACCCATAAAGAAAAGAGAACAGGGCAGTGCACAGAAATTAGTTCTGTGATGTGGGCTGGGTTGCAGCCCAGCTGGTAGAGGGTTTTCTTAGCGCACAGGAAGTCCAGGGTTTGATCCTCTAAGTCCTGTAATCACAGCACACCGGAGAGATAAAGGCAGGAGCGTCATGAATTCATGGTCAGGCCGGCCTGAGATCCATAAGACCCTTTCTCAGAAAACAAAAACAACACGAGCAACAAAATCAAAACTACAATTTACTTCTGCATGGAGAAGGGCAAGAGAAACCTTTAGGAATCTAGACTACAAGTAAGCACAGGCAGTGATGGTAGCTACCTGTAACAAGCATGCAAGTCAAAGTCAAGGATACACTGAGGTTTCTTTTAAATGCATTTGCTTGGCCCCAGATCAAAAATATTGAAACACTGAAAAGAATGTGTGGGTCCAAAAGATCTTCATACCATGCTGCAGGGACACACAACTTTGCAAGCCAGTAGGGTACCATATAGTATTTCCATCACTTGCCACATCTGTGATCTGACTCTGAGCAAATGGGAACATTTTCAGTGAGAGATATGCATGCACATATACACTACAGTCTGGTTTCTAGTAAATGGAAACATGGAAGGAACTTTACTACCTGTTGCTAGGAAGTGGATAGAGTAGCATGGTGTTGCCACATGAGGGAATATCATACAGCCATCAAAAGCACATAGGGTGCGGGGGAGACAGCCCAGTTGTAAAGTGACTGCCATGCTAACACAAGGACTTGAGTTTGAATCTAGCGCCCCTGTAAAAATGCTGAACATGGCCATGCATACCTGTAATCCTAAAACTCAGGAAACAGGGAAGATCTTCAGGAGTTCTCTGGCCAACCAGTTAAGTTGAATTGACTAGTGAAAAGGCTGTCTTAAGAAATAAGGTGGAGAGTGAGTGAGAAAGACCCTGAGGTCAACCTGTGGCCTCTAAGTGCGTACATGCACACCGTCACCCCTCCACACCCAAAGCCACCCCCCCACACACAAATAAACACGTCACCACAAATATACACAAAATTAAAAGATGACTCATAACAACATTATTGATTTTTAATGATATAATCTTAACTGAGAAGTTGAGTATGAAGACCACATATAGCATGATTTTGAAAACTACATTCAAAACTACTGTGATAAAAAAAAAAGTCTAACTATTTAAGAATATACAAAGTCAAAATGACACAGGAAACCAAGAGAACCGTGACCACAAAATCTGTGATTATGGCTGCCTTAGATGGGAGAAGCTAGGGAACCTTTTGGTTGATCACAGACAAGTCAGTGGTACAATCTGAGCTGAGTTTTGGCTGGGGGGGGGGGTGCTTATTATATCATTAAAAGTAAGTTGTCATTAACAAAGTATGGCAGGCCATGCTTGGAAAATAATGAAAGTACAAGATGATCCAGGTACTGAGATCAACTCAGTATGTACACCCTGGGCTGAAGAAAGGTAGGAGGCATTGAAGGCGGATGAGTAGAGCTCCAGTTAGTGCAAAGGAGCTGGGTGTCTCTAAGGAAGAGACAGGCAGCCAGAGCAGAGGTAGCTGCTAGGTCACAGGAATGAACTAGGGCCATCATGCAAAGCTATGTAACACAGGGGGAATAATGGATGAGTTGTGAGACGTGAAGTGAAGCAGCCATTTGAACATCATAGAGGACCACTGTAGGTTCATTGTTGCAGAGAATAGGCAATGACAAGGACTGTGGGCAGGCCCCTGCCGTAGTGAAAGAGAGAAAACAGTGGCAGGAGTTTGAGTTTCTGCAACTCATTTGCTACACAAGGTACTCAGCCTGAGGAAGGGTCAAGTCACTGAACTCTAGCCCATCTCTTCCTGCCAGTGCGTGTCTTGGTGCTGGGCAGGGATGGAAGAAAACATCTTTCACATTGCAGAGGGCTCTTTGGCCCTAGGTAACCTGATAGTGACTCAGGGTGATAAAAATAGACTTGAAGAGAAGTGGATGTAGTTTTCAGATCTCAGAGTTCATGTGACTAGATATTTGGGTTGATAAAGACAAAAAGGAATCAGAGATAATTCCTGGAGTTTTCCTTTTCTTTTTGGTGTTATAACTCCAAGGTTACTGACTGCATATACAGGAAAGAAGAAGAGCGCAGAAGACTCGTTCGTATTCAGAGGGGAAACCATATTTTGGACATATTAATTTAAAAATGGAAATACAAAAGTTGGGGGGGGAGGGAGACATTGGGCTTCATAAAGGAACCAGGAACAATTTAGGCCAAGAGATATAACTGTGGGAATTCAAGGTCATCTGTATGTACATAGTTGTCATTATGAGAGTGTGAAATCCTTTACACAGAGAAATTCTACTTTCATTTTTTTCCTCTAGCAAAGTATAAAGGAGAACTGTTTATCAATAAATATTTACTGAATAGTTGGCCAAAAAAAGGCTATATAAACAGTTGGAGTAGGGGAGAGGAATGCCCTAGGTTCCTGCCTTGCTCTTGTCTGAATGCTGAGGATGGATAGTTTGTAGGCCAAAGCCAGTCCAATGGTGAAGACAACTCATTAGTAGGATGTGGGCTGCTGCAGATCTCAGGCTTAGCATGGGAGTGCCCAGAGCTATTCAAATCAACCAGAATTGATGGGGACTACACAGTGAAGAGGTAGAAGAGCCAGAAGAGCCCTAAGTGTCAAACAAAGAAAAGTGCTAAGGTGGAAACAAGGACACATCTCAAAATACAGTAGAGCCCGTGGATGAAGGAAAGCATGATCATCAGGAAAATCCAGGGCCGAGAGACTACTGGCCTGTCAATGGATCCAATGTGCTCAGTAGCGATTGAGCCTCAGGATTTCATTTAAAGGCCACTGTACTGCAGGCATCTGTACAGACTTAGATAACTAGCTGAGGGCCAACTGCCACAGTTCTTGTCACCTGAAGCACCACAGTAGCTTAAATGTGTGGTGTTTTGTGACATCTTTAGGGAATGGTTGCTGAGGCCTTCCCACAGGAGATATTTCAGCCCCTCTCTGGTATGCCTATTATGAAGCATTTGATTGCATATGAATTTCTATTGCTTTATAGATATTCTGTCCTCTCCATGCTAGCACTGAGGGGCTGACTCTGCTCATCTAAATTCTGGCCTGACACACCCTCCCATGTTGCCACATCCTATCAACTTGGTAACATCTAATTCCTACTAAAACTTGCAATTATTCCTCACTTTTTTCCTTACATGATTGGCAGGCCTTTTACTCACCACTGCCTAGCACAATGCTAAGCATATGAAATGTGGGTAACTATAATGGAGAAAGAAAGAACCGAAGGGAGAGAGATGGACAGAAGACTGAGCTACGTCAAGGCCATGTTACTGTCACTGATGACACAGGCCAATGTGTTCTTTCTGCAGAGGGCTGAGTGCCATCTTGCTTAAGATTGTAGACTGGTGATCAACTGGCAGTTCCATTCTGGTTCCACATCTAGCCTGATTAGGTCACGTAAAGTGTGGAAAATAGCAATGCTTCCAGTGGAGTACAGATATGATTTTTAACTGTGGTGATATGAAAGTTAGATTGTGGTACCTGGCATGTAAGAAGAATACCACAGAGTTCGGCTATGAGCCACTTTCAAGACATTTATCTGTCAGTACATCTTTGATGACCAACTTCAAGGAATTTTTTCTCCTGAGAATCTGAGCTTTTCTCTTGTGAAGGGAGAGCTCTAGGAGTCGGGTAGCAGCCAGTGTTGGCAGATGGGGAATTATTCCTGAGCACATGGGTGTTTGCCGCTCTGTTTTACAGACTGTGCCATGTGGTATTCCACTGTTAGCTAGGAGTCTGAGTAGTAGTGAGGATTCACAATGTAGTCATTCAACTTTACAGAAACAGTGAT